GTGGTCTAAATCTGTTGTAATTTATTGTGATTCTTACTCATAGTACTTTGCCTTCTCATATACATATGACTTTGGGTCCAGAGTTTACATTTACTCTGTCTTAAGTTTGTGCATATTTTATGGTTTTCAAATGAGAATGTCTTCTTGCAGAAATGATTTGCATCTGCCTTCCAGGAGTTTCCACTAACCTAAAATCTCTTTAGCTCCCTACCCAAAATGTTGTGGCTCAAAGTGGAAATCAAAGACCCAGTTCTACTCTAAATCTGGATTGTGGTTCTGCTGAGAAAATCTGTCCCTAAGTTCACTCCAACATTTTCTTTCACCCTATTATTCACTACTTGCAGCTCTATTCTCATCTCAAAGTTTGTTTTATATTTGCTTTTGGGCTGGGATAAGATTGTATACCTTGAACGCCTCACCTCCGTCATATCCTCTCTTCAGCCCACTAACTCACCACTAGTGTTTCTCCTAGGAATCTAGTTGTTCTGCAGTGGTTCTCACTCTATGTAGCCAGATGAGAAAGTTAACTTTGCATCACTTTAACTTCTAGTTCAGTGCTGCTTCCGCTTTTGCAAAGTCTCCTTAAAATACTGTTCCCTGCTGCCCTCTGGCGGCTGATTATTCACCATCGCTGCATATAAAGTAGGCAGTGGAAATGTCCTTGAGAATATCATACTTTTTTTAATGGGCTCTTTCAGATAACTCATTTTTCAACTTGTTCAAAACTTCCTCCTCCTGTGTTGCTATTAACGCACTCTTCTCTACATACCACGTCATTTGTCAAGCTGTTTGTCGTTTTCATTTATTGAGAACTTTGGTACCAAGATCACAGTCATTGTACCCTAATACAAAAAGTCCTCAATTTATGAACATTCGAGTTGTAAACTTTCACATACAGGAACAGACTTTACATTTAGTTTTGCAATGTGTTACACTGTACATTCGGTCAAAGGTGTATAAAACTCATTTTGTGGGACTTATTAACGAGTCTGACATGGGATCATCCTCCTGGAATGAAACTTCCATAGGTCGGGGACTTACTGCATAGATGACTCTGAAGCCCTGGTAGAAGACCCTTCTCAAAATCAAAATTTCTTCCTCAACTCTAACACATTATCCATAGCTTGCTTCAGGAACTTATTATTTGTCCATATCCAGAGTTGATCATCAAAGAACATTTTCATCTCTAGATGTTTAGGCTCTGTATAGGCCAAATAATGTTACCCCTCACCAGCAACATCTGTATCCTAATCCCCAACACCTATAAATATGTTGCTTTCTTTGGCAAATATTCATAAGTGTTCTGAAAAAGGAAAAGAAACAGAAGTACAAGCTCACAGGACAGGTTTACTTCAAAACAAACCTGAGAGAGTCCTGATGCTAGAAACCAGACAGGCTACTCCCATACATATGGTAAGATTTTTCTATGCAGTCATGGGCATAAGTCAAGAGGGGTGCAGTGGAAAGAGCTGTACTTACCAGTTAGGGAGAAGGCTTGAGAGTTGAGGAAATTGTGGTTACTTGTCAAGCGCAGGGCTGAGTAATGATGGAAGTTCTAGATTGCAGCTACAGTTACCAGGCCTTATCAACCCACGATTATACATTTGTAGCAGGTATACAAGCACAACGTGCAGGGGAATGGGTTTAATGTGGTCTCTGTTCAGCTCAGAAAGACAGAAGTCAAATTCTTTTATTAAAGATCTTGAGATAGGAAGGTTATCCAGGGTTATAGGGGGATCCAATGTAAGTGCAAAGGTCTATAAGAAGAAGGCAGGAGATTCAGAGTGAGAAAGAGATGTGACAACAGAAACATAGGCCCGAGCCAAGTGGAGCCATGAGCCAAAGAACACAGGTGGCCTCTAGAAGCTGGAAAGAACAGAAAAACAGATTTTCCCCCTCTGGCCTCCAGAAGGAATACAGTTCTGCCAACCTATTTTAGACTCTCAGAACTGGGAGACAATAAATTTGTATTCCTGGAAGATATTAAGTTGGTAGCAATTTGGTAACACGGCAATAGTAAACTAATACAGGCTCCAATACACCAAGGTATAACCATAAACCCTTATTCTTCTCACTCCCTTTCTTTTCCCCAGTACGCCTAGCACTAGCCTCACAATTTGTCGTGTGTCCTGGCTTTGCTTCCCTTCCTTGACACCATTATTTTCAATTTCTGTGGCTTTCTTCTCAGGATGTCAAGGACTTAACCATTTCTCATTTATTGACTTTTTCATCTACCCTGATACTCCCCAAGTGGCAGCAGACTAACTTCCTGCTTGCTTCTCTCTCCCACACTGAAGAAACCCAAGAAAAATCACTCAGTGGTTTCTATTGGTTTCATTACAAATTCATGATCTGTAACTTCAGCTACATCTTCAGTCTCTCTGTATTCCTTTACCTAACCTTCATTCATTCCTCTTCCATCCTCAGAGGAATAATTCCTACTTCTCCATTCACCTACTCTATCACTGAATCTCTCTTTAGAAAATTGCCATGTTTTTTACATTGCAATGTAGCAGGTCTGATTATAGCCTGGCCTCTTGTCATGGTGCCCTTCGCTCTCCTTGTTCCTATCTCTTTTCACATCCATGCTGCTACCTAAAAGACCTCCCTCCCTTACTCGTTTCCTCTCTGCTCCACACTTTCATAAAATACACTCAGTTCTTTTCTATTTTGTGATGGAAGAGTAAACTTTTTATGAGACGCTTAATCTCCCAGTTAACATCCCTCTTTTGTGTTCCCATTTTATTGCACACACTTCTATTGCAACTATCATAACACATCACATTAAACATGAGGTGGTATTTAATTACATGTTTCTTTCTGTGTATCTCTCCTTTAAGAGAGATGAAATGAATAACTATGTCTTATTTATCCTATTATGCCCAATACTTTAGCACTATCCTATTACTGTTACGAAAAATGATAAGAAGGCAGGACCACACAAAATGGTAAATGGTGTGGCCAGACAGCCTCCCCACACCCTACTCACACACACACACACACACACACACACACCACTACACATCAGTTATGATTCTCACTTCCTCCAGTGATTAATCTGTTTGGAGACTAAATATTCCAGACTCCTGGGCAGAAACTCATACCCATCCAAATGACAAGTGCATTGGCATGTCCATCAAATCTGCTTCAGAATCAAGAAGACACTCTTGGCTATCTCAGTGCTCCAGACCATCTGGTCAGGTGGCATAGTGCCCACTTACAAGGTCAGTCCCTACATTCCTGATCTTGCAAGAGTGTAAACTTTCTCTCTGAGCTGCCAGGCAGGGTCTTCAGCAGCATAATTCACTAATATGTTTTAGTCCCCAACTAGGTGGCAGGAATATTTTTCTAGGGCATTGCTGTCATCTTCTGTTTCTGAGAACAACAGAATGGCCTGGAAGGACAAAGAGGAGCAATGTCCACTTCTCATATTCCTTTGCTTTGGGGGATGGAGTAGCAGTGGAGTATGCCGTAGAAATATGAACTGGCCTCCTGGGATCTCAGGGATGTTCCCAGTCTGCTTACTGTACACTTTGATCCGAAACTGCACTGCTCACTTTAAAAGTAGTTAGTCATAAATCATGCCTCACATCTAACTGATGGTTCATTTTGTATTGAAAACAGATCTTTGAACCAAGAGTAGAAATTGAGATGACAGAAGAAACTGCAATATGCTTCTTGTTGGCACAGTTTTTAGCTGGAATTTGCCTGAAGATTCCTTTAACCATCTAGGGAGTGATGCTGTAATGACAAAAGGCTGCTAATGGCATAGAGTATGCTGAGGATGGGAAAGTAGGAGCAGCTCTATGCAAATTATGTATGTCCTGTGCTAATGTGCAAAGAATAGCTGCCTGGCAAACAGAATTCCTAAGTACTAAGATGGGGAAAGGTAGCTGGCTTCACACCAAAAGACACAAATGCTTGTACACATGTTCAGTTCTACTGTCAGATATTTTATCTTCCTATAGGTAATTCTGTATGTGTAAATGTACTAAACCTCAAAACAATCAACAAGCGAGCAAACCAAATATTGTGTACTACAAATTATCTAAGAACACATATGCACCTCTGCCTTAATTTCCTATGCTTTTAGGGAGAGAAAGGAAGAAAAGAGAGAGATGGATACAAAGGAATACTCATTCTTGAGGGACAGAATAAAGGCTACCTTTTTTATGGGGTCCCTATTATCACTGCAACTCACGATGATCTTTCCTTCGCCCAAATACCTGTAAGAGTTACCATGTTACTGCATCCCGTACACACTCACTTTACTAAATATCCTTTTTTTTTTTTGTCATGTATTCTCCCAGTTAGTCCCTGGGGGGCTTGGGGCTAGCTTCTCTTCCTCCACACTACCCATCTCAATGACTGAGCACAGTAGATGCTGCAAGTGTTTGACTGCTCTGGTAGTGTCATTATAAATTACCCCTGATCACAAGCTTGATTTTGTGATACAGTCTAAGAAGTGTAAGGAATAAATTTGTCTCTGTATTACGATTTGTATGTGTTTTATAACTTATAGTTTGCAGCTGCTGAGAACAAGGCGAGC